CGGAATTACAGGCATGCGCTACCATGCCCGGCTGATTTTTTGATTTATTGTCGAAATGAGGTCTCACTGCCCAGGCAGGTCTCGAACCCGCGGGCTCAGGCAATCCACTCACCTCAGCCTCCCAAAGGCGTGGGATTTATAGGCTGAGCCACTGAGCCCCGCTAATTTTTTTTTTTAATTTCTTTATAGAGACAAGGTCTTGCTATGTAACCCAGGCTGGTCTCTAATTCCTGGCTCAAGCGATTCTCCTGCCTTGGCCTCCCAAAGTGCTATAATTATAGGCACTGCACCCAGCCCAGTGTGATCTGATAACACTAAGACTGTAACTTTGTTGTTCATATGTTTTCACTGTTTTATTTCGGCTGTTCAAAGGTAAGAAAATTCTTATTGCTAAACTGACAAGCATATGTTGAAACAACCAAGGAAAATTCTTATTGCTAAACTGACAAGCATATGTTGAAACAACCAAGGAATTGCTTCTTGACATCCTTGTTTAGATCAGGTTAGAAAGCGTTACCTGTCTTCTTTCCTGCAACCCACACACTACATAAGATACTGGTTTATTTCTTTTTTAAAACGAAGGATCTCTATTTTACCCAGGCAGGACTCGAACTCCTAGGCTCAAGTGACCCTCTCTCCTCAGACTCCAGAGCAGCTGGCAACCGGCAATATAGTTATTGTTTATTCTCATCAAATTTGATCCAGTCGTTTTGATCAAGTTTTTAAAAATGGGAATATTCCCATGTACTATATATTTTTAAAATGCATACTCAAATAAGCCGGGGGTGAAATGACTTAAATTTGCTTTAAAACACTTGGGCAAAGAGATTTTAAAAAGTTATATGTGAAACTTTGTGACAAATATTGACAACTGTTGAATGTGAGTGAGGGCACACAGGGGTTCATCTCACACTTTCTTTTGTCTATGCGTAAACGTTTTCACAATAGATTTTCCCAAAAAATGATATTTCCAAACAAAGTTACCGTCCTGAGAATTAAACACCAGTCACTGGATGTGAAAACTCTTGTCTTCAGAACCAAGCCGGGCGAGGGGTCTCAAGGAGAGCCGAGGGATCCACTGGCAGGCCGGACCTGGGCTTGGCGCCTATCAGGCCTGCGCCACCACGCGGGCCGAAAACGCGCACGTTTCCTTCAAGGCTGAGTCTGACAAATCCCTTGGTGCGCTCTAGGGCTCGCAGACCGCGGAACTCAATTGAGAAGTGGCGCACACGAGGCTCACGCCGGCGCTTCAGGAAGACCCCAGAAACTCCGCTAGAGAGCTCCCAGGTCCCAGCCCTGGACTGTGGGCTTGGCCCAGTTGCGCCACCCGGCCCGGTACCAACTGTAGCCACTTCCAGCACCACTCCCTCGGTCCCCACCGCGAATCTCAACCCCGCCCACTGCCTACCTTCCAAGTCCGAGTCCTCCTCTGACTCGCTATCCCCGTTGGCGTCGGCGACGTGGTCGGGGCCGGGCTCTGGCGGGAGGTAGTCCGAAGGAGAAGCGGCGGGTGGGACTGAGGCTCGGGCGCGGGCCTCGCGCAAGCGGGTGAAGTAGTCTACCGCGAAGTCGACGAGGTCAGGCGGCTGCTGCCGCAGCACCTCTACGGTGTAGCCCTGCAGCAGCTCCGTGAGCCCCGGCGGGATCTGAATGTGGCTCATGCCGGCGGCGGCGGCCGCGGGGACGGACAAGTCTGGGCCGCCGGCGGTCACTGCCTCCGAGCTCCCTCACGCCAACCCCTCGCTCCGCGCCCGCGAGTTCTCCTCTCGCGCGGCCCGGATCCGGCCTTCCTCGCGTCGCGCCGCTCTTTGGCGGGTCTGCGTTTCCGGGCCGCGGAATCCTACGCTACCACGGCGGGCCTGGCGCCGCAGCTGCTGTCACTGGG